AAAAGTATATCATATAAACATGTATAACTCCTTTCTAATATCTATTAGTACGTAACAATATCAATCAAGTGGGGTGTGGGTGTTAGTCCTCTGCTTCATATATCCACACCCGCACCCACACCCTTACATTGACACTTACTTTACTTTAGGAATATATAGTATTGCAAAAGCATCTGTTCACAAATTCGTTTAAAAAAAATCGTTCAACATTTGTGGAGCATTTTCTAATGTCTGGTTTTGATCCATTAACAATAGTCGACAAAGATTTCAAACATAATTATGCAAATTATATTTTATATTTATGCCAACAAAGTTATTTGTCAATGAATATAGTTTGTTTATTTTAATAAAGTTCTTTTTACTTTTTCTATTTAAACATTTTCATTTCGTACAGAGTCATTGTCGTCACGTAAAAGCATTATTCGGTCGATTACCTCTCAAATCAATCCAAGAATTAGATCATAAATTAAATAAACTAGTAGGTGCCTTTGTTGGACCAATTTATTCCTTTACACATAATAATTACTTAAATCGTCTTCAACATGATTTAATGAATCACGTTTGCACTTGTTGTGAATCACGAAGACATGTTCAACGGGATTATGAATTAAATGATTTTCAGAATAATACGAAAAATGGTCAAATAGAAAACAAATATACAAAACATCATATGTTGCGTGATCTTTTTTTATGGTATGTTTTTATGGATATGCCTGAAATGGCTAAAGTCTTATTATTTCATGTTCGAGCACGTATATGTGCTGCTCTTATAGCTTCGGCTATATTTAAAAAATATTCAGAATTATCTCAAACAATTCGTATGAAAGATAGATTTCGAGATCAGTCATTGGAATTTGGAACATATGCTGCAATGTTTATCGATAAATGTTATGAATATAATGAGAAACGGGCTTGTGAATTACTTTTACGAAATATACCACTTTTTGGCAATGTCACATGCATACAGGTTAATAAAATTAATGCTAAAATAAATTCATTCTTTCATTTTTTTTCCAACTAGCTGGCTGTTTTAATTGAAAGCGATAAATTAATTGGAACGGCTAGTTTTGATGAAGCATTAAATCAAGTTTGGTATGATAAATTAAGCATGGTTAAAAATCAACATTCAACAAAATTATTAATATTTGTTGCAATTGTTACTTTTGGCTTTTTAGCACCTTTGACTATCAATTATCAAGAAGCACATGTTGATTCATTGAATGTACGTAAAAAGTTTGGTCTTTTCAAGTAAGAATCTTTATTTGAATATTTTATTTCAGAATTCGAAGCAGTATATGTAAGTAGAAAGCAATGAACAACTTGGCTACTTTTTTTATATAGGCATTGTACTGGTGATAGTCTCGCTAAAGAAGGTATAAATTATTATACTGACGCACAGGATTCAACAGAAGCAATATGTACAGCTT